ATAACTAATATTTGTTTGTTAGTGTTTTTAGAAAGCTTAAAAACGATTTTCACTTCTAAGTAAGAGGTTTTAGGTTTGATTTTCGTTAAAGGCGAATTTGAACCACATTTTGCTAGCCCATTGTAAGATTAAGCCCACCTCATCTCCCTTGGTGTAAATACTATTGTTTTGTTTAAAAAAAAGATTTTTGAAAAAAATCAAAACCATTTATGATATAACGTTTGAGATAAAAATGTAAAGTTAATTGAAGAAAACACAAAAAATGCAATTTAATTGGGTTTAAGGAATTTATATAAACAGAAGTGCGTCTTACAAAAGCACTCGTTATAGCTGTCAATGTCGGTTTGAGTGTTAGTTTGATCTTCATTGTTGATAAGGACTATTCCATAAACAAGAAAATACACCTGAGCACTACAAAAATAGCAATAGTGCCATTTAATTTATCATTCTAAAATAGTACATAGTCTGGTGATGGAAATCTCTACGTGGACAATGTAGACATGGGTTGGTTGAATTATAGGAAGTGGTTGAAACTTAAAATAATTCTTCAACAATAATTTCTTCAACTTTAAATTCAAGAACAATATTAGAGAGTGGAATCGTGGGTAGGTTTTTGAAAAAAAAAAAAAAATTCAACGATTTAGTGACGATTAAGATGTGATGGAGAAGACTAATAACTAGATAGTGACGTATTCTTCTCTTGGTACATGAGACGGTATCAATACAAAGTAAAACGAGATAGGGAAAGGAAACGTACCATAACGGAAAAGGAAGGAGGAAGAGTTTGATACTCGGACGCCAAGAGAAAAGTCATAATTTTTTGCTTGTTTTGTCGAGGAGAGTTTTTATAGTTGAGGATGAGAGTTTTAGTTGCGGTAATAACTTATTACTCAACTTCGGATTTTAAAAGTGATATTTGTTGTTCAAATTTGAAGCGGTGGTTTTGTGGTTTATGCTTTTGGCAAGGATTATGGGAAGAAGCTCACGTTTGTTGGAGGTGATTCATGGTAAGGTTATGACAATTTGAAGATCATCAAAGGGTGGTGTGGTCTTTCGTTTGTGGGGTTGTTGCAATGGTTTGGGGGTTCACAATCATGTTTTATTGTCGTTGTAAATTCTTCAGATGATGGTAGGATGTTTACCTTGCGAGTCTTGATGGTGTTAGGTCCAGCTAGCTCATTGGGTTTAGGCATTGTGAGCTTATCTTTCTTGTTAGTTAGATGCGGGTCTCCTGTGATTGAGGAATCGTATCTTTGAAGAGTTTATTTTGTGTTGTATAATTATTTTGTTTTGTTTTGTTTTGGTTGTGGTTTCGTTGTGTTTTTTTTTTTTTTTTTTGGCAAGGGACTATGAAGACATCTCCGTGATGTCTCATAGCAGGGCTTTTCTGTCGAATGAGCGTCGTCTTTTGCAAGTTATTAAGAAAGTAATGCAAGATTTTGTCTTTATGAGTGTTATCATTCCGTTTGGTTAGATTTACGGTTATATGGGGTAAATTTTGTATTGTCTTTTTGTTGCATTTGTAATCACTGCATTGTATTCCTAATGAATGATGTTCTTATTTTTCTTTGATAATGATGTACGTTGAAAAAAAAGAAGAGCGTTTTGGGTTGTTTATCCTCTGTGAATAAGGAATAGCAATACAGGTTAATGATTCCTAATCAAATGAATTGACCATTAAGATGTGATGGAGAAGAATATACCTAGATGGAATCAATACAAAGAAAAACGAGAAAAACCAAAGCTCATATTAGAAAGAAGATTACACAACTAAGGAAATTGTGAAACGATAAAAATATATCTTCGAATGTCCTGAGTGAGTTATCGAACGACGCTATATGTAAAAAGTTATTTTAGTCATTCCTTGATCGGGCAGGAAAATATGAACGTCACTATTCTTTGTTTCCTTTCTATATTTTCTTCTGTTAAAGCAGTTTAGTTTAAAAACAGTAACGTAATCTATGTTTTGTATTAAACTATTAAAGACTCGTTTGGATGTGCTTTTTAAATAACTGAAAGCGTTTTTGGTGAAAATATTTTTTGAACCAATCATTAGTAAAAATGCAGGTAAATCCTAAAAAATCACTTAAAAGTGCTTCCTGGAAGAATCATATGTGTTTCTTGCAGAAAACACTTAAAGTGCTTTTAGAACCCAAAAATATTTTCTCTAAAAGCTTTTTCAGCTATTTTAAAAGAACATCCAATCAAGTTACGAGACAAGGCAAAAGCTAACCTAATTTTAAACATTCCTAGTCTAAAACGGAGATTTGCCCGTTTACTTTCCCACTATCACTGATTGACTACACACACCCCTTATATATACCCAACCTCACACCCCTTATATATACCCAACCTCTCACCCCTCCCAGCGACCAGACCTCCACAGATTAATTCCACACTCTTCAATCTTTACTCTGCTCACCTCCACTCTTTTACTCTTTATACCCATCGCCGGAAAACCCTACCCGCCACCTACACGATGCGTCTCCTACTCTCTCTTCTCCCTTTCCTCGTCCTCCTCTTCTGCTCGCTGTACTCCGCCTCCGCCACACGGAAACACCACCCAGCATCAAATATCGTCCGTTCATCATGTCGCCACGCCACTTACCCCAAAATCTGCCTCCGCACTCTATCCAACTACGCCGGCCCCGCCAAGACCCCCGGCGACCTCGCCCAGGCCGCCGTGAACGTTAGCCTCGCCCGCGCACGCCGCGTCTCCGGCTTCCTCGCCCAGCTCTCCGCCTCCTTCAAGGGGACGAAGCTGCAGCGCTCGGCGATCGGCGACTGCGTGGACCTGATGTCGTCGTCGGTGGACGAGCTGAGCGAGACGCTCGCCGAGCTGCACCACCTCCGGAAGGAGACGTTTCGGTTCCAGATGAGCAATGCCCAGACGTGGCTGAGCGCGGCCTTGACGGATGACGAGACGTGTCTCGATGGGATTCAGGAGGCGAATGTGAAGGCCAAGGCCGCGGATGTGAAGCGGAAGATTACGAATGTGGCTAGGGTTACGAGCAACGCGCTGTACCTGATCAATCGCCTCGACAAGAGCCGCAGACAGCCCAGATCTGGACCTTGATGATGATCTGATGATGGACGGCTGTAATTCTGTCATTATGGTTATCAGTGTCAGTCCATGCCGCAGTTGGCATCGTACTGTTATTGTACGTATGATATTAATGAGTATAGTAATGAAGCTACACATATAAAATCAGTTTATAATATTGTTGTCGGGGTTTAAATTACTCTAAAAGCTCTTGATATTTTACTTATCAACATCTTACTTTCTTTTGAAATAATTATTTGCGATAAATACGAGATTTCTTTGGTGGTTAAGATATTTTTTATGATCGTGATTAAAAGATCCTATGATCCACGAAAATTTGTGGGACTGTCCCATGTGACAACCTGTTAGAGACTTGTTGCATAAGACAACCCGTACGAAAAATATCAACTTATTAGATAGTTTGTCTTGTGATCCCCATAAATACCCCACGTTTTACCTCCATTTACCTTAAAATATGTTTTGTTCCATCAAACAACCACCCTCATTCCTCAACACCGCATGTCCAAAAATTGTGAAAATTGTGCAGGGGGTCATAATTCATAAATCATTTCACGCTATCCACACATCCATTTTTATTTTTTACAAACACCTATCAATTTTCAGCCGTTGAATTGAATGACTTGGAGAAGATCAATGAACAAAAATTAACAAAGGTGTGTGAAAAATAAAAGGAAGTATGTGAATGGCACTACCCTAATTTTACCAACTAAATTTTAGAAGCATTACCTTCATGTATCAGTATTATTATTGTCATCATTTTTCTATCTTTCTCTTCACTTGACGATAAAATAAGAGAGTTGTTAGACACACTTGGTTGTTTTATTTCCCCACCCACATTATATTTATACCCACTATAAAAAGTTAAAAAAATTAAAATGTTATCTCCCCACCCACTATTATTCCTAAAATAATCCTTTATATATATTCTTTTTCCTTTTTTTTTTTTTCAACTCAGCTATCTATGCTGCACTTTCAACGTTTCTCAAGTCATGTGGTTTTATTTTTCTAATTGATTCACGTTTTTGTTGTTTTATCGAATTGAGTTTAGTCAAGTTAATTACAACACCATGCTTCATGTTTCTAGTTCGATTGATCATGATACACTATCCATTATTGCCAAATTGTACGGCAACGTAATACGAAATCGTAGATACAACACATTCAAATAGGAATCGATTCGATGAATGATTCAAGTTCGAGTTGCCGTGCTGTTGAATTGTCTGATCAATTTCTGAAATCGGGCTGTGTAACATGAGACACAAAAGTGATAGTTACAAGACCTAATACATTTGTATTTCTCCGATAATTAAAACTTTCATCAATTGCATGTAAAATAAAAACCCAGAAAGGCAAATGTTTAAATCCTAACAAATTGCACACAAAAAATTATTCTTTTACCTCTTTGATGGAAACATAATCCTCTGCTTCTTCCATAAAAATGTCATCTTCTAAGTTCATTCTTTTTGCTTTCTCTGAATGAAAAGAGATGAGAAGGATGAGAGATGGGAAGGATGAGTTAGGGTTTAAGGAAGACAAATAGTCTAAAGAGTTATCAAACTCAAACTTTTCTTTTTTATTTTTTATAAAAAAATAATAATAATGCAAAAGAGGGTAACTAAGGTCCTTATTAGTCATTTTACAAATGGACAAATTTGTAATAAAAAAAGTCATTAAAAAGTGGATAAGAAGATAAAACATTGGGGTGGGAATAACATCTCTTCTCGCTTGAGTCCTTGACTATAAAATTCGGAAGAATAGAGTTAAATTCGGGTCAATACTTCCGAACCGGCCCAGACGGAATATATATCATCTTTTGGTGACGGGCCCGTTGAGTCCAAAGATGTAACAAGTGTCGGTCGCGCTTACGAACTCAGTGACCCATCCGAACCCGCCACAACTGGGCCACCTGGTTCCCAAAAGCTCAACTAAAAACCTCGACCCGTAAATCCGCAACTTAACGGTCACCTTCTTCGCCCTCAGCTGTCTCTCTAAAACCCTAGCCAGTGCTGAGAGGTGGGCAAAAAAACCTAAGGACCATCGAAGCTAGGGTTTTTCTGCAACTCCCCAAAACACCCGCCCAAACATGGAAGGCATCGAAGTGGACGACGTCCACTCCTTCCCTCTAAGCGACGATGACGACATCTGCGCCTCAATCTTCACGCGCTTCAGCAGCTCCACGCGCGAAGACCACCACCACCTCTGTGCCGCCGTCGGCGCCATGGCCCAGGAGCTCAAAGACAAGAACCTCCCTTCGACTCCCGTCGCATACCTCGGCTTCACGTGCTCATCCCTCGACGGCCTCGCCTCCCAGCCAGACCCACCCGGTCACGTGATCGACGCCCTCCTCACGATTCTCTCCATTGTCTTTCAGAAAGTATCGGTGGGGATTCTCGTGAAGAAGAGCGAGTTCTTATCGGAGCTCTTGGTCCGTGTTCTTCGGTCACCGTCGTTGACGGTGGGTGCCGCCGTCTCGGGATTGAAATGTATATCGCATTTGCTCATTGTCAGAGGCCGCGTCAACTGGTCTGATGCCTCTCAATTGTATGGATTCCTATTGAGTTTCGTTACGGATTCTCGCCCGAAGGTGAGTTTCTCACATTTTATTTGCCTTTGAGTTCTTGTCGTTATTGTTGATTGTTCATGATAGAATTCAGATTGCTTCGGTCATTTACTATATAAATTCGATGAATTTGAGGTTTATTAAATGACGTTACGGCACAATTGTTGCATATTTTGGTAATGTCGATTGTTATAATTGATTCAGATTTTGATTCTGTTACATGTACTTGAATGTATTGTAATTGGATTCGGAAACAGGTGAGAAGACAATCACATTTGTGTCTTCGCGATGTGCTGCAAAGTTTTCAAGGAACACCGCTCCTTGCCCCCGCAAGTGAAGGGATAACTAACTTATTTGAAAGGTTTCTTCTGCTTGCCGGTGGGTCAAGGGCAGATGCGAGTGAAGGACCCAAGGGAGCCCAAGAGGTCTTGTATGTTTTGGATGCTCTGAAAGAGTGTCTGGTTCTTATGTCAATCAAGTACAAAACCAATGTCCTCAAGTACTACAAAACTCTTCTGGAACTGCGCCAACCACTTGTTACAAAGCGCATAACAGACAGTTTGAATATACTTTGTCTCAATCCATCGACAGATGTTTCTCTTGAAGTGTTGCTCGATCTATTATGCTCATTAGCTCTTTCTGTCTCTACGAATGAGACATCTGTGGATGGCATGACATTTACAGCTCGCTTGCTTGGTACTGGAATGGCGAAAGTTTATTCCCTTAATAGGCAAATATGTGTAGTTAAACTCCCTCTTGTATTCAATGCACTCAAAGGTATGTAGTGTTTTGTCGTCCACTGACTTTAGTTGCGTACATTTTACCTTCTTATTAGTTAAAGAAATCTTCGTCTAAGTCCCTTTTTATCTGCTCCATTCTAGAAAGCAGAACTCAAAAAGTTCTGTTTGTGTTTCTTTGATTTTGGCAGATGTGTTGGCATCTGAGCATGAAGAGGCTATACACGCAGCAGCAGACACATTTAAGAGTCTCATTCGTGCTTGCATTGATGAAAGCTTGGTCAAACAGGGAGTTGACCAGATTGTAATGAATGCAAAAAATGATGCAAGGAAGTCTGGGCCAACTATAATTGAAAAAGTGTGTGCGACTATTGAAAGCTTACTTGGTTATCACTACGCAGGTGTCTGGGACCTTGCATTTCAAGTTGTCTCAGCAATGTTTGATAAACTTGGTATTACTTTTAAAATTTGATGCATCTGACTGTTTCCTCTTGTTTTTAACTGATTTATTTTTCTGTTACCATGCACTTATTATCTCCATTTGATATCAGAGGTATAACAGCTGTTATCATGCAGGGGTATACTCTTCTTATTTCATGAGGGGCGCAATGAAGAGCTTGGAGGAAATGGAGAAGTTACCTGATGAAGATTTCCCTTTCAGGAAACAGGTCTTTCCTATATTATTCAGTGTTTAACATATTAATATTACTATGTCCACCATCATCATTTACAAGGTTTTTAGGCTGCAAGTCAAACTCAGTTCATTTTTTTAAAGATTATTTGGAAGCTTTTTGTGTGGTTTTGTCTTTGTTTAGTAATGTTTACTCTCAATTAGTGCGACATTTACTAATATAATGAATTTATTAATATATAGTTGCATGAATGCTTTGGATCGGCTCTTGTTGCAATGGGACCTGAAACATTTTTAGGTCTTCTACCTCTTAATTTGGAGGCTGAAGACCTAAGTCAGGTGAATGTTTGGCTCTTTCCGATTCTGAAGCAGTATACAATTGGTGCACGTTTGAGCTTCTTTACGGAGTCAATTTTGGGTATGGTTGGAATGATAAAGGAGAAATCTAAAAAGGTATTGAACAGATCATACTGATGGAATGCTAGTTGTTTATTCCAGATGGAATTTTTTAGTTATGTGCTATAATTTGCAGCTGGAGTCACAAGGACGTATTGTTTCATCAAGGAGTTCAGATGCGCTTGTACACGCTTTGTGGTCACTGTTACCTTCCTTTTGCAACTATGCTTCTGATACTGCTGAAAGTTTCAAGGATCTAGAGCAAGCCTTGTGCAGTGCCCTTCAGGATGAACCTGAGATTCGTGGGATAATATGCTTGAGCTTGCAGATTCTTGTTCAACAAAATAAGAAAATTGTGGAAGTGAATGATCTGTCTGATAGTGAATTAGGTAGCACCAGACATAGAGCTATGGCCAATTATACCCCTGAAGTTACAGAAGGTAACATGAGCGTACTCAAGTCATCTGCACGCAAGTTACTACCTGTTCTATCAGGTGTTTTCTTGAATACCACAAAAGATGATGCAGGCTGTTTGCAGGTACTTAAGCATACTGAGGTTACATGTGTTTTGTTTATTTGTTCTGCAAAATACATGACAAGAATGTCAAATCCGTATTGATTTTTGTATAGTACACATATCCTACGGGTGTAACAAATGCAGTTTCCCTACAAATCATGCCTATCCTCGTTAAAACCATGACACATTTTTTATAAGAGAGAAAGGCAGAGGGGAGTTATCTTTTTACCTAAATGTGTTAGATACCTCGTAGTGAACATTCAAAGAACTTAAACATAATTGAGCAATAAAGGCACAAGAACAAAATGGAATTGGCTCACTTTATAAGCTGCATCCCTTTTTTACAATATCACCCTTTTCAGTATTTTTTTTTTCTTTCTTTTGACTTCCCTTTGATCTTTTGGATACATTTGCACCTCTGTCCCCTTTGCTTCCCCTAATGAACTTGTACTTTTTCATATTGGGTTCAATTTTCTACTTAGGAATGCATTTTTGGTTAGATACGTGTTTGTACTTTCAATGCGAAATTCGTTGATTACTTTTTCATGAATAGTGTTTTGTGAAGTTGTGAATAATTATGTTTCCACCTTTACAGTCCACAATTGGTGAGTTTGCTTCAATATCAGATAAAGAAGTTGTCTCTAGGTATTTTAGAAGTACATTGGTGAAGCTTTTGAAGGTTACTGAAGAGGCTAGGAAAGCAGAAAGCTCTAGAGATTCTAATACCATGCGGTACATCATTTTTTTTCCGTCTATGATGTTTAGTTCTTCATTTTCACAGTAGAGTTATCACTTCTCTCTCTTAGCAGGATGTCTGACCTGACATTAATTCTCTTCCATCTTAACTGCAGGGCACAACTATTTGACTTGGCAGTCTCACTTTTACCTGGTTTGGATGCTAAAGAGGTTGATGTTTTATTTAGTGCAATAAAGACTGCATTGCAGGTTTGGAAATCTTTCTCCTCCATCTGGTTATTTACTTTGTTTTTAAGAGGATCTAGAAATGCTTGGTAAAAGGAAATATTGCCTTAGTTACTAACTATAGGCTTCATGACTTCAGGATAATGAAGGATTGATACAAAAGAAGGCATACAAAGTTCTTTCAATCATTCTCAGGGTATGCAAAAGTTAAGGATTTGTATGATTTGGATGTTAGGGATTATCTTTATTGATGCTTTTGCACTGTACTTGAATTATTATCACCAGTCAGTGGAATATTTGGAAACATGGTTTACCGGTTCAAAGTTGTTTGCTTCACTGCTAATGTATTAGTTAAAGAAGACATGGTTACAAGGGCACTCATATAATTTTCTGGAATTATCTGCTGCGGAGCCGTCTTCTATCCATGTTATGGTGGTTTTTTTGTTTCTTTGCTCATCTCTTTTACTTATGGATCTTGTTGCTGGATGTATGGTCAGGACTGTGATTGGTTTCTTTCATCGAAGCGCAAGGAATTGTCTGATATTATGATTGAAGTACTTCCTTCATGCCATTTTTCAGCTAAACGGCACAGACTTGACTGCTTGTACCTCCTAGTAGTCCATGTTTCAAAGGTATACACAAACATATTGATTTGCCAAATCGTATTACTACGTGTAGCATTCATTATTTGATTCTTAGGAACAAAGTTTGATGTAGGGAAGAAAATTCACATGTATGCCATTCCATGCTTAAGAACTTGAATCTTTTTGTAGAGCAACACTGAGCAGATGCAGCATGACATCATAAGTTCTTTCCTGACAGAAATAATTCTTGCGCTTAAAGAGGTAAAGTGGTTTAGCAGCTGCAATCTGGTTTCTTACTTAGTTTTTAATTTCCTGAAAGAATCTAATTCTTGCACTTAAAGAGCCAGAAGATCTTGCATTCTGCAGCTTCAGAATTTGTTCATTTATATGAAGTGCTACCAATGGTTTTCTTTCTCAATGCAGGCTAACAAGAAAACAAGAAATAGAGCTTATGACATCCTTGTCCAAATTGGCCATGCTTGTGGAGATGAGGAGACTGGCGGGAAGAGAGAAAACCTGCTGCAATTTTTTAACATGGTACTGAATACTGTTTCAGACTGCATCAGTTTTTAACTGATAGTCTTTTGGCAATAATTGGTTCTGTGGGAAAGCAGAAATTATATAAATTTGCAGCATGTCTAAGGTTGATCTTATGGTCACAGGTAGCTGGGGGGCTAGCTGGTGAAACTCCTCATATGATCAGTGCTGCAATGAAGGGTTTAGCTCGGTTGGCTTATGAATTTTCTGACCTTGTTTCAAGTGCTAGCAATTTGCTCCCATCCACATTTCTCCTCCTTCAGAGAAAGAACAAAGAAATAATTAAAGTTTGTTCCCCTCTTGTTTAGATCAGCATTTTGGAGTTATTCAGTTACTTAAGTGAACTGCTTGATAGTTGATAATTCATTGACTTATTTGTTATTTCCTTTTTCCAGGCTAATTTGGGTTTGTTGAAAGTATTAGTAGCCAAATCACAAGCTGAGGGGTTGCAGTTGCACTTGAAAAGCATGGTGGAAGGCTTGCTGAAGTGGCAAGATGCTACTAAAAGCCACTTCAAAGCCAAGGTTGTTTCCTCCTCAATATGGTTGAGTTCAGTTGGTTTTGATGAATTTCCCCATAATTCTCATCACTTGCTTTTCAAACTCGATTTTTTTTTCTTCAGGTTAAGCTGCTTCTAGAAATGCTCATCAAGAAATGTGGGCTTGATGCTGTTAAGGCTGTGATGCCACAAGAGCATATGAAACTACTTACAAACATACGGAAGGTTTGTTGAGAGGCATCTTGCTAGATTGAAAATTTTCCAGGGGTACTCACTACTTGTTTCTGATCTTCCCCTTTTCTTGTGAATACAGCTGAAGGAACGAAAAGAGAGGAAGCTGGGTTCTAAATCTGAGGAAGCTAGATCTCAAGTGTCCAAAGCAACTACATCCAGGTCTCACTCTTTCATAATTTAAAAGTTAAATACATGCACGAGCACAATTCGCACGGTGCACATGTATTCTTATTGTAAATACATATCACACATGTGCGTATGTGCTGGTGGCACTTTTACATCTCATTTTTTAACTTTCATTTTTTGAGATATATGTAGTTTTTAATATTACTTCATGTTCTCTAACATTCTGTTATTTTCCATCTTCTTTTCAGGCTAAGCAGGTGGAACCATACAAAAATATTTTCTGATTTTGATGATGAGGAAACTGAGGATAGCGGTGCAGATTATATGGATGCCAAAACAGTGTCGGGCAGACGTGGCAAGGCGTCCACACAGCTCAAATCCAAATCATCTTCATTACGGTAGGTTGTTGTTGATGTTCATGTTGCAGTGTTTACGTGTTTAGAGAGCCACACTTTGCATTATTCATGATCTTGGTAGCTAGAAGTGTTCGTTGGATCATATCTGATTGTCCAGAAATGTTAAAAAATAATATGATCAACAACACAATCTGGATCGGCCGAAATGAACCAACACAATTGTTTGTATTACAGAAGAACAAATAATAAGAAGTTGCTTGATCAGCTAGAGGATGAGCCACTTGATCTGCTTGATCGGCAAAGAACTAGGTCTGCACTCAGGTCATCTGAGAGTTTAAAGCGAAAGATGGAGTCGGATGATGGGCCAGAGATAGACCCTGATGGGCGCCTAATAATCCGCGACGAAGCAGAACCGTACAAGGAAAAGCCATCTGAACCTGATTATGATGCAAGAAGCGAAGCGGATAGTCACTTGTCTGTAAACTCAAAGAAAACACAAAAACGCAGGAAGACATCAGAGTCTGGGTGGGCTGCCACCGGCAAAGAGTACGCCAGCAAGAAGGCTGGTGGGGATTTGAAGAGGAAGGACAAGCTTGAACCATATGCATATTGGCCACTTGATCGGAAAATGATGAGCCGCAGACCAGAGCATAGGGCAGCCGCGAGAAAAGGAATATCGAGTGTGGTGAAAATGACGAAGAAGCTCGAAGGGCAGAGTGCCTCGGCTATCCTCTCCGCTAAAGGCTCGAAGTTTAAAGGGCGGGTTCAGAAGAAAGGAGGCGGCAAGAAGAAAACAAGGTGAAGAACCTCTTCAACTTGGATCAACACATTCAAGAGAAATATATAAACCTTTTCTTCATTTATTGATTACTATTTGCTCCACTGAATAGAGCTAAGCGACCATTTTATGTTTGAGTTTTGGAATCACTTTTCTTGGAACTTTTTTTTCCACAAATTTTATTGAATATGTTGATACTGCTTGCCAATTAACATGAACATACATAGCAATGGATCGCAATGGCGAACAAGGAAAGGAACGTGTAGGTTAGAATAGAATATCGCTTCGCCATAAGTAAGTGTATGGACATTATAAAGACGCTCGAACAGGTCCCAATCCAAGTATAAAATTTGGAATCAAGATACAAGTAGGTCGAATTCCAAAAACGTAAAGTCATGCAACTGCAAACTAAATTTCATTACAATCATCTGATGAGCCAACTAGTTGTACAGAATACCAAAATCAAACAAGGCAAGGCAACCATTACCGCAGCGGTGGTTCAATGACTAGCAGCAGCACATAAAAGGATCAAAAGCTACTGTGGCTATCGAAAGGGAAAGTCTCTAATAATAAGAAGCAAAAGTATTTCTTGTTAACCATTGGGTGAGCTCTTAATATTTCCTACTTAGGGGCCACCTCAACAATCTTCTCGAGCGATTCAGTTTTCATAGCCGCAATCTATCCAACCATACACAAGATGAAGTACTTCAATGTCGATTCAGTCCCATCTGTAAATAACGGCTTCTGCTTAATTTTCAAGCAAAATATACGAAAGAAAGATATCATTGATTTCATTGTTGAAAATACGTGACTGCTCGTAACTGTTCTACATATGTTGATTTCAAGTTGAAAGACATTAACTCAGACAAATAATCACGATACTACAGGTTTATGTTTCAGACTACTATTTTTTAAAAGAAATACCCACACTTTGCTTGATTTGTTTACATATTACAATCCTTCTAAGTTCTAAAAAAGGTGGCAGTATGCGAACATACCTTCAGTAAGATTGCAGCAAAGGTTGGAGTAGCACACTAGATCTGTGTTTCTACTGGTATGGGGCAAACAAGACCGATGAGTTGTGGCCACCGAACCCAAATGAGTTAGACAATGCCACCTTAACGTCCAGCCTCTCTTTCTTTGGACCCACTAGTAGTTTTGTATCCTGCATTCATGTGCTGACAGAATTAGAGGATTCCAAATATACTTTCCTTGGACGTTATCAGGGAACGGAAGACAACGTACCACACCCTCATCTGGGTTTTCCAGATTGATATTTGGATGTATCCACCCAGTTCGTATTGCCTACCCAAAAAGAAGATAACATGTCAAGAACTACACTTCAAACCAAAGAATTGTATTTGGTCTTCAAATATAAGGTCTAAAAATATTACAGTTTTTCCAAGTTGAAAACATCAAGTTACCTGTACTGCTGCAACAGCTTCCACAGCACCAGCTGCTCCTAGTAGGTGACCAATCATGGATTTTGTAGAGTTCACTCTCAACTGTAAAACATAATGATCTCATTGAACATGGAAATACAGGAATTAAGAAAACAGATGACGAACGTAATGTGTTGTTGTTACCTCAGGGTTCTGGCCAAAACAATGAATGAGAGCATTATACTCCTTGAGATCTCCGGCTGGTGTGGATGTAGCATGTGCATTAATGTAATTAACATCTTCCCTAGACACCCCAGACTGCTCTAAAGCCTTTTCTATACAGAGAATAACCCCGGCCCCTGTTTCCAAGGACATTAATAAAAATTTCAAATCCAAGCATTTGATGTAATTTGACGAAACAAAGTGCAAGGTGGATACAATTATTCACACAAAAAATGCTATAACGACATTATTCATAAAAATATTTCCACGTGATGTTCTTCCATAATGAACCTCTAATAGATCAACAGAAACAAGTTGCCAAAAACTTTCTTGTTTCCATAGCTCAACAAAAAGAACAAGAGAAACGTAGGAGTGATATTTCCAAAGGTAAAGCATATTACCATCAGGGTGTGGCTCAGTCATGTGGTAAGCATCACATGTGAAGCTTCCACCAAGGAATTCTGCATAAATAGTTGCACCTCTTTTCTGTAAGAAAATAAACATCGATGAATTAAACTTTCTAAAGAAGCATTTATACAGAAACACCATATCACATAGTAAGATAGAAATGAATGATTAGAAAATGCGTGTGAGACTACTATAGGGGTAGCAGCAAGTTCAGCTGACCATAATCACTCAACACAGTACAAAAAAAGTAACAGAAAGCATGATATGGATTAACTCGAGGGAACCACAGTATACAGAATGTCCCTAAAGACCTTGCACCTACAACCCTACAGACTATGTGATCCCACACAGAAAGAGAAAAAGAATATCCAGACAGACAACCCAAGTACCATTGCCAAGGTCATTGATTTAGAAAATACCTTAGCATGTTCTAACTCTTCTAGAAGCAAAACACCAGCTCCTTCCCCCATAACAAAGCCATCACGATTCTGTCCAATAACCAAAACAAGATTTTGTTAAAAGCATTACTATGTAAGTCGACATGTTAGTAAGAAACAATGATTGCAGTTCCAAACATTTTCTTTCGCAATGGAGTACCTTTGCACTTGTTAAACGTTTCTAAAACAAAGAAACTCAAATCTCAAGCTTAATAGATGACTAGGTTTAGTTATAAATTACAACATATCATTTCAATAAAGCTGACTAGATTCCAACACAAATTTACATTGTGATAACCAATATATGACATGCCCTTCTAGTGATTTTTACCATTCTTGTTCTTAGGAATATACGAAAGTTTCATCATATAACCAATCAGTGGAAATAAAAGAATAAATGACTCTAGCATAGTTATTGGTCACATTACACTATCCCAAGGGCGTGATGCTTTAGTCGGATCATTGTTTCTTTGTGACAGTGCTCTGCATGCCACAAAGCCTCCCAATCCTGCAGTGATAGCATACGAAAAAGATTATTAAAAATTACGTTCAACTCAGAGTAAAAATAAGACAGAAATAACATCTGCAAGGAATGGAAGCAATACCAATAGGTATCATCACTGAATCTGAACCACCACAGAGCATAAGGTCCTGCATAAGATTTCAAAGAAAATTGTAAATTAGTTATTATATACTACTTAAAGATCGTTCATCAGATATCATTATTTTCAATTTTGCATCGAAACTACCACTAAATTACTTCATGTTGTAGGACAATATTTTGCATCTAAACTCTACCACTTAATATGATTAACAGAATACTTACTGCTTCGCCTCTAATGATATGATTTGCCGAATTCAAAATACAGAAGTTGCTTGTAGCACAAGCAGTAGAGATTGAATAGTTTGGGCCCATCCAGCCCTGCAAGCGTAAAAAGTATATTGCAGTTAAAAGGACAAGTATAAAATCTCAGCAGCCATCACAAATTGTAAAGGTATTGCATCGATAATATATATACGCATATATATTGTAATCTCACCAGATCAATTGCCAACATGGCAGAACCCATATTTGTAGTTGCGAAAGGTACACAGAAAGGGTTCATCTTCTTATAGGAAACCCGTAAAGCTTCAATTGCATCATTGAAGACCTGTTCAATATCAAACACAAAATGGATTTATCAGAAATGACTGAAGTGATGAAAATACATCAGATCTTGCTCCAGAGGCAAATTTTGTAGGTCACTGTGAGACTATCTGGCTTCAAATTTAATTTTGCGAAAAGAATCTTTTGTGTTTACAAGATGTTTTACTACAGGAGAGAGATACTGATACACAGTCTTAAATAAACAAATAGATAGCATAAACAAGTCCAGTTCTGAAATTAAAAAAAAAACTAGTTTTCAGTGCATCTCCATCGAAAATGACATTTGGAAGATGTGACATAACATTACAAACTCTAAACCATGCTTGCTAAAAACATCAAATTGAAGACAAACCAGTAGAAAGATTTTTCAATGTTTTGCAAAAAGTGTACATAATATTAAGGCACAGAACACTGAGGTACCTTCATGCCACCCATTGCTGAGCCAATCAAAACCCCACATTTTGCTTTATCTAATGTTTCCAGGACTTCTTCTGTGATTCCAGCATCTGCCAAGGCTTTCTTTCCAGCAGTAAGCAAATAAAGCATGAACTTATCCATTCTTCTAGAAAACTTTGGTGTTACCCATCCGTCCGTTGAGAAAGACTTGATCTCACCAGCTATCCTCTAAAGAAAATAAAGAGAAGTAAGAACATAGTACTGAGAAAACAACAATTTGAAGGGAGGTTTAGTAAATTAGTCACCGTTGGAACTGGGTACAATCAAAAGCTTCTATCTCACTTATGCCACTAACTCCCTCAAGCAAATTATTGTAGAAGACATCAGAATCATGACCGAGTGGGGTCACCACACTCATTCCTGTCACAACCACTCGCCTCTGTCTTGTTAAAGGTTTCTTCTGTTTTGTTAACTCTTCAGTAGGTTGCACAGCTACAGCCATGGTTTCCCCTATATTTCCACCAATAACAATGATTTAAAACAAACGAAGATGTCATGCATGTCAAAGAATATTTTTACTTATACATTGATTGAAAAACCGAAGTTAGAGTCCTCAAAGATCTACAAGGCAACAGACAATCATTCTATATACATTCACACCAACGTAAATAATAAATCTTTCCTCTCTTTCCTGGTCCAATACATAAAACTTCTACAGTAACAAGATATTCTATTCCTTATTCTTTGTAAATTAAAGTTCGTGGCTAGTATAATCATGAATCACTCAACAGTTGCGAATGGAGATGCTCTGAATCAATTAGTCCAACTAGAATACTTTACTATTAAAACCATTGTTTATTTTTTGGCAACTGTAATTCCAATAGAAAAGAAGGCAGAACAGCATGGAAAACTTTTTCCTCTCTTTCCAACAACATTTGGTATACCAACATAACCAACTTCAAATAAATCATACTGCATAGCAAGAATAAAGTGAAATTCCAGAATATATAATTGAAAAAAGGTTTTTCAGCCAAAATAGTCTCTGTGATTAGCATATCTCCTTTTTGGTCACTGACAATGAAAATCGATAAAAGTGATCCTGACTTTCACAATTTAACGAGGATATTGACAGGACTAGATACGGTGATTTACGGTTGACAAAACGCAGGGACTACTATCGATTTTCAATGTTTATGCTAATCTCAAGGACCATTTT